ATCTTGCATTTATTATAATTAAAACCCATCTGCCATTTATTTGCCCAACTCACTAAATGATCTAAATTCTTTTATAAATTAGCAGAATCGTCTTCATAGCTAGCAACATCCAATACTTTAATATCATCAGCAAATGTAAGTAATTTATTGACCATTCCTTCATCTATGTCATTGATGTAAATGAAAAAGAGCAAAGGTCCTAAGATTGAGCCCTAAAGTACCCCACTTTTGACGTTAATCCAGTTTGACTGAATTCTATTTATAGCAACCCTCTGCTTTCTTCCATCCAGCCACTCTTCTATCCAATTAGCTAACTTATCCTTCAAACCTGTAGAGATAGCTCCTCATCCCACCCAGTGGCACAGCGGGATGTCTGCGGACTTACAACGCTAAGAACATGGCTTCGATACCAGTGGTGGGCAGAGTGTAGCTTATGCTTAACTACAAACAAACAAAATCTATAAAGATAATTTGTTTTACAAGCCTTTTATGTAGCACCTTGTCAAAGGCCTTATGAAAATCCAGATACATGAAATCTACACCCTTACCCTCATCTACACAAACAGTAACCTTTTCAAAGAATGTCAAATGATTTGTAAGGCAAGATTTTTCCTGCAGTGAAACCATGTTGACTAGCTACTAAAATTCTAAACTTTATTAAATGACTTTGCAAAGTATCTTTTAACAGACTTTCCTAAACTTTTCCCACAACTGATGTAAGACTAATAGGCCTGTAATTACAAGGACAGTTTTTATTATCTCCCTGGGAAAAAATAGTTACATTAGCTAACTTCCACCCCTCTGGTCCAGCTCACCGTTCAAGAACGTACATAAAATAATAGCAAGTGGTTCATATGTCCAATCCTTAACCTCCTTCAAAACTATTGGGGAAATATTATCTGGCCCAAGAGTCTTACAATCATATTGTCCAACCCTGCTTGCATCTAGCAACTGTTGAAGATGAGGAATACTACTTAAATCTTCATTAGTAGAAACTGAAGAAAAAGATACTAGCCTTCCTTTGTCATCCCGCAAGGGTTTTACCCCTATCTTAAATTTTTTTTACACTTCATGTACTTTAAGAAATCCTTACTGTTAATTTTTACCTTTTTCAGCCAATCTTTTTTCATACATGCTTTCTGATGTCCTAATTTCCTGTTTGATCAACTTTCTTGATCTTTTAGAATCTTCTAAATGTCTCGTCATACCAGTCAATTTAAATTTCTTAAACTTGTGATGATTTTATCTTATTTTATCTCTTATCCATTATGGTTTTTCTTTCTATAAGGATTATGTTTATATTGAATATTTAAAAACTTATATTTAAAAATTTTCCACATTTCATCAGAATTTCCAAGTATCTCAGCTGCCCAATTAACAACAGATAATTCTTGTCTCATCCCTTCAAAATTTGCTTTTTTTAAAATTTGTAACCAAAATATTATCCTTGATCTCGATATGCAGCAAAACATCAAACCTAATACAGCAACGACCTCTTGCACCCAGATGTTCCCCAGTTTCCACCATCTCAACAATTTCCATATTAGAAGTTAACAATAAATCTAAAATAGCATAGTTTTTAGTAGGTTCATTGACCAATTGGTGAATAAAACCATTTTGAACAATTAAAAGTATAAAAAAATAAGTAACATTTACTTAAATGATACCTAACTCTCAAGAAATATATTTAGTTTTTTAATAATTTAAGTTAAGACAATAATTTTTTGCTGTTTAAATCTACAGTTGAGTTTTATTTATTAACTTTCTTTTAGTGTGGGATGTTCAACCTTGCCACCAGAAGCTGGAATACCGATACTTGTGTTAAAACCAATCTTGATCTAAACACAGGAACCTTGACCTGTGAATGTACTGCCCTCGGCTATGTCGGGTAAGTTTAATTTTTGGAGTTTAAATGCCGATTGTTTGTTTGTTTTTAAAAGAAAAGCCACACTGAACTATCTGCTGTGTCCATCGCATAGAATAGAACTCCTGATTTAATCGTAAACTCACCGGGGAACTTAAGCCCCGAAAAGATATTCAAGTGTTAGAAACCAATAGGCCTAAAATATATGATAAAAATCACGTAAATTGCTTCCTCTTGTTTACGTAAGTTCCGTTTTTAGTTCTAGGGCTATATTTGAAGATAGTTTTAAATTCGAAGCCCTGTTGTTGTTATTTTTCAGGACTGTTTTAAAAGTTACTTCAATCCCCAGTGTCAAGGTTTGAGTTTATATTTAGTGCTGTATCACGAGATACTTCAATTACCAGGTTCTGTTTTTATTTTCATGGCTGTATTACGAGATACTTCTATCACCGAGGTCAAGTTCTATTTTTATTTTCAGGGCTGTACTACACGATAGTGTAACCACTGACGAACCAACAACAATTTTTACTACTGAGGAGTTATTGTTTGATGTCGAAACCCAAAGAACAACAATTGAACCGACTACCACAGATATTTTCACAACTGCTGAAGAAACTGAATCCACTACAACAAAATTGCCCTCTACAGTGACTTACCTCGTGACAGAACGTAAGCTCCCTAGCACAGAACCACCCACAACCTTTGCCAGAGTCCCAACGACCATCTTAACTCCGGTATCTTCTCAGAACTCTTCAACATCTCCCCCTCCTATTGATATGTTCCTTAAACTTGCTGAAGATTTTTATGCCATTGTTGGAGACCAAGAAGGTGCATTCACAACACACCTTCTCCATCAAATATCTAATATTATGGGACTGCCCTACCCTGTTTCTCCTACTTCAGAATCTCTCCAGGTAAGGATGAATTATATTTGTACAGGATTTCGTCAAAAACTTGATGTAGTATAGAACAGACAACGATCTACAATAATCTTACTTCGGATACATTCTATTGTGTACTCTACTTTGTGACTTTCCATGATTCATGATTAGTTTGAAGTAGTTTGAGGGGTGTAACATCTTCTAAAAACAAGTTTTGATACGAAGGCACGCGCTTCGTGATTAGTTTGAAGTAATTGAGGAATCTTTCTGAGACCATAGCATTACAGGAATTATTGTCCTGAATATCAGCTGTTAAAATATACGGTAAAAAAACATTGCAATGATCCACATTTACCCATAGACACAATGT